AGACAGAGACAGAGACAGACAGAGACAGAGACAGACAGAGACAGAGACAGACAGACAGACAGAGACAGACAGACAGAGACAGACAGACAGAGACAGACAGAAAACAGACAGAGAGACAGACAGGAGACGAGAGCCACGCTGGCCGGCAAGCAAGCAGGCAGGCAGACAGAGAGACAGAGACAGACCGGGACAGAAAACACAGACACATTCAAACCCGAAAGTCCAAGCCGCGTCTCCGTCCCGGGAATCCCAGACCCTAGGCCCTAAGCCCATGAGTTTAAGCAGTGTGTCACTTCTTAGTCATTTTCAAACGCGTCTTAGGTCTCAGTCCCAGAACACTTTTTACATGTTTGTAGTTCCGTAATAGTGCTAACTCCAAACTTTACAAGCAAGAACAGAACCACTTTTCCCCCATAGCAAACGCCACAACCTAATCTCGACCCAAAAAGCCCGTAACCCTCGTGATAAGTAGCCATTAACTTTCATAGTGACCTGGGAAACGGCCCTAAACCCAACCCTAAATAAACCGCATCGCGGCCTCCTTTTTGGGTACCCGAGGCCCCCCTTTCTCAAGTGGCTGGTGCTACAGGCGGGCGGGATTGAGGTTTACGGTTCAGGGGTGGGTTTGGGGTTGTTTAGGGTTTAGGGTTTCGAACCCCTTAGCACTAGTGGCATGATCTTGCATTTAGAGGGGTCGCAGTAAAAGTAGTCAACAGTGGTTCGATGAAGTACACTTATCACAAGTAGTCAGTTTTTTCGAGTCGTATGCCTTCTGCTTGGCTTCGAGTAAATCATGCATACGAAGTGAGCACCTAAGCCCTAAGCCCTAAACCCTAGCCCCTAAACCCTAAATCCTAAAATTCTAAAACCTAAACCAAACCTAAACCTTAAACCCTAAACCCTAAACCCCAAGACCTAAACGAGCAGTGAAGAGGTTAGAGCGGAGCATTTCGGGCTTTATTGGTTACTGTAGTTCGTGCCACGTCAACAAAGGCGTCATGCCAGGGCCCTCCTTGTACCCTCAAACAGGGTTTAGGGTTTAGGCTTCCGGGGTTTAGGGTTTACGGTTTAGGCTTCAGGGGTTTAGGGTTTAGGGTTTAGGCTTTAAGGGTTTAGGGTTTAGGGTTTAGGGTTTAGGCTTCAGCGGGTTTAGGGTTTAGGGTTTAGGCTTCAGGGGTTTAGGGTTGAGGGTTTAGGCTTCAAGGGTTTAGGGTTTAGGCTTCCGGGGTTGAGTGTTTAGGGTTTAGGCTTCAGGAGTTTAGGGTGTAGGGTTTCGGCTTCAGGGGTTTAGGGTTTAGGGTTTAGCGTTAGGGGCATAGAGTCCCAAATAATGGGTATTTATGGTTTAATATAGAGGGTAGATGCAAGGTCTAGGTGATGACCGAATCAGGAAAACCTTGCCACATTGCCCAGCCATCCAAGAGCGAAGTGCCAGTGCAAAGACGCTCAAGCCCGTGGGTGAGTTGCGAAACGGTTTAGGGTTTAGGGTTTAGGGTTTAGGGTTTAGGGTTTAGGGTTTAGGACCCTAGACCCCAATCGAAACTACAGTGGCAAGCAACCCCCCTGTGTTGAGCCAAAAACCCGAAGCACCTGAAGCGAAAGTGCGGAACCAGGAAGCTTCACCCCCTGAACTCCAAAAGCTAAGTACGAAAATACTCAGAAGCTAAATGAGGTCTTCAAGCCTCCGCCCTCGAACCCCAAACCCTAAACCCTAAGTCCTAAAAGCCACTCTACACCCTTCAAGCCTAAACCTGAAAACCTACACGCTTAAACCTCAACCCCCGACCTCGCAAACTATGCACCTACAACACGCTTCCTATAGGGGGCCTAATAATTACTTATATTATTTTGGGGTTCCCTCTCATCATTATAGTATAATGGGCCCGAAACCCTATCCTGCTTCTTAAGGCCACTACATTAGCCGCAAACCCCCAACCTGTTACTCTTGATCCCCAAGCCGTAAACATCCAGAATCCCAAACCAAACCCCAAACTCTGGCTCACTGAGCCCTGAACGCAACAACGCAAACCCCAAACCCTGAGTCCTAAACTCCAAACCCCTAATCCCTAAACCCTAGACCCTAGACCCTAAACCCTAAAACCCTAAACCCCTAAACCCCTAAACCCCAAAACCCCAAACCCAAACCCCTAAACCATAAAACCCTAAACCCTGACTCCAAAACCGTAAAGCATCCGCGCAGTTCTTGCTGCTGGTCAGGCAGGTTTCCCCGGTGCTGTCTTAGGGGTACTTAGAAATAATTTTTTAATCTTTGGCTACTATAAACCCTAAGAAGTAGCTAGAATTATAATTTTTGCTAGGGGTCTAAGTTCAGTATAGCTGTGGGGATTCTTGAGAAAGGGGAGGCTTGTTCGAGGGTTCAGGGTTTAAGGCGTAGTTTAGGGTTTAGGGTTTACAGCTTAATTTGGGCTTTAGGGTTTCCGGAAAGCTTTCTGTAGGGCTTAGTAACAAGTATGTCTATGATGTGACCGCTCTTGTTTTGTTATTATTATCAGGAGTACTGCAGTTATGATTTGTTGGTACTGTCATCGCTGGAGAACTTCTCTTTATAGATATCGTTCATTGAATCGACAGAATCAAGATGATTATCTTTGATACGGGGGCTCAGCTCTGACTGACCCGTTCATGATTTCTGTTGCTGGTTTTCCCCGTTGCAGGTGACGTCATCGTTGTTTTTTTTAATCCATTATTGCTTTGTCGCTCTGTGTTTGATGGGAACAGCAAGGTCGACGGTCGTATCGTGAACATTGATGACTGGTGGCCAGCATACGGAGAGTATGACTGACACTA